TTTAATTTTTTTTTCCCTCTGTGTTCTAGCAGTCATTTCTGGGGTTAAGAATAGTAAAAAATACAATGTGAACATGTAAATAAAAATATGCAGATAAACCCTACAGCTAAAAACAACCTTGGCACTTCCTGAGACTCAGCCTGGCCCACCATCAAGAACTCAGAGGACTGAAAATAGAAACTGTTAGGATCTAACATGAATTTAGAGTTAGTCAACAAGACTTCCAATAGAATTAATGCTGGCCATATTATATTCAGAGGACCTCGATTCAAATCCTTCTATGCCGCTTACTACCTGTGTGATCTTAGGCCAGTGATAGATACCCCCTATGCCTCAATTTCTTCAAATATAAACTTGTGGGGGGGTGGGGGTGGGGGTAGGGGACAATGACTAGATAACCTTTAAGGTCCCTTTCAACTCTGAATCTACAACCTTATGATCTTTAATGATAATGGATTCTGGAATAGTCTAGTAAGCTTTGAAACCCATCTATACTGGCCAAATCTCCTCCATGCCCAGGACTCTCCTGGGCCTAGGGGTAGACAAAGTATCCTAAGAGACAATATGCAGGGGAGCATTAAAAATAACATTTTTTGATTTAAAAAAATGGACATATGTGGTTAAATGCAAGAATTTTGTTGTGGTAAATGAAGTTGAGTGTATTTCAGTGAAGACTTAAAACCTCAAGGGGATAGCAATACACAGGAAGGACAACTTTTGATCTTGTAATCCAAATGCTACATCTTGGCTTGACTTCTAGATGAGAGCAGATGCTTGCCTGGAGACTCATGAGATGACCAAAATATATTCTCTCCCCTTCTCCCACCCACACTTACCACTTCTCCATAATGGGAGGCAACAGTGACCTAAACCTTTAGATGCTGGGCCTGACCTGTGGTCAGCAGAGCAGGGTTCCATTCCCAGCTTCAACATTTATAAGCTGTGTAGCCCTGGTAGACTCTTCATGACCCCTTTTGGGGGTTTGCCATTTCCTTCTCCAGATCATTTTACAGATAAGGAAACTGAGGCAAACAGGGTTACATGACTTGCCCACAGTCACACAGTTAGTAAGTGCCTGAGGCTGAATTTGAACTCAGAAAGATGAGTCTTCCTGATTCCAGTCCTGGTGCTTTATCTGCTTTGGCACCTAGTGTAACCATGGACAGATTACTAAAATTCTCATGCTACCTCCTTCATAGGATTGATGGAAGGAAAGTGATATAAAGATGAGCTGTTTGGTATTATTGGTAGCTCACTCTCACCTGCTTTGTGGAATAGTGGATAGAGTGCTGGGCCTTTACTCAGAAAAATCTGAGTTCAACAATAGCCTCAGAAACTGACTAGCTGTGGGACTCTGGGCAAATCACTTAATTGCTGTCTGCCTCAGTTTCCCTAACTGTAAAATGAGGATAGTAATAGCACCTATCTCTCAGGGTTGTTGTGAGGATTAAATGAGATCATATCTGTAAAGCACTTAACACAGTACCTATCACAAAGCAGGTGTTTAGGACAGAAGGGAAGTTGTGGGTGGAGGGGCACCTCAGACGCCTTCATCTCAGCTGCCACCTGTTACCTCCCCTGTCTCTGCTGCCCAAGCTCCCTCCACCTCCACCCCACCCCCGGCCCATGGATCTTCCTCCGTAGCCCCCTTTCCTGCATGATACTTTCAGAGAAGACCTTCAAGTAGCCCTCCCCACCTTCGTATAAAGAATAGAAAATGTGAGACATATTGGAGAGCAGCATCCTATCATCATGCTATCCTATCTGTTATCTGTGATAACAGAAATTTACAAGAAGGAGAAACAACTTCCTCTACCAAATCATGTCAACATGAGTGAGCAATTCAAAATAATTAGAAGGTGCCTACAGCTGAATGCTAATTAAGCTGTCTTCCTTATTGTTGAATGGACACAACATGGCAAGCATTTCAATACCTATTTCTGAAGTATATGAAAGTGAGAAGGATGAAGATGGATTTTTCTATGTGGCATATGCCTGTCAAGACATTTGGAAAGAAATTTGCAGTGTAAGACCTAGTACAAAGCTTCTATACTAGAATTTTTTTAAGCCCTCACTCAGGAAAAAAGGGATGTCACCAACTGAAATTGATCAGTTCATCTAATCACAGTTTACCAAAATAGTAAGTAGTATTACCACCTTAGGGATTTTTAGTAAGTTGCCTCTTGTATTACATGCAAATAAATTGAGTTCCAAAAGCATGTACAATATAGCTTTGGAAAACTCCTATTTCACTTAGGATATCTTGCTTTTTAAAGTTTTTGGTTTAGAAACATACCCTGCATTCTAAGTTGCAATAAAATGGACATTTGACTTGTTGTAGTGACTTTTTTTATAGGAATTTCAATTCCAGTGGTAATCATCAAGAATTTAGTGCAATGACAGAGTCTTTGTTCATGGAAACTGCTCATTTTTATAGAAAGGTTTCTCTTTACTTATGTAAGCATCTTTAATTAGGCTTGTCAAATGTCCTATCTATAATTGTAAAGTCCATTTACCATCAATGGTTTCAGCAGAACTGGGTAAATGGGGGGCCCCCAAAAAATCTATCTTGTTCTGGCATTGATGCATAGATTCCAACTTTCTTGCTGTCACTTATTTAGTTTGCTTTTTTTTTCTTTTTCCTGGAAGTTTGTTTTCCATGTCATTACACAGAGAAACACCATGGATTTTATAGGTAAATTGAACAATTTTAAAAAATTGTCCGAAAACAATTTGGCTTCCAAAAAATTCCTGAGAACAGAGGGATGGCATTTCTTATATTGTGGATTTGCTCTGATTTAGAGACTTTCAAACCAGTGGCTATTTCATTACACAGTTGTACCAGAGTAAGTCTCTTCTGATCCAATGTTAGAAACTATATCATCCTAGAACCTTAGAGCATTAAAATTCATTTTGCACTCCCTTGTACCTTTTGGATTAAATCTGTAGTCTGATTGGTTATGTTTAAAGTGGGAAAGTAAGTGCTTCACTAAAATATTTTATTAAATTTGAACTGTAAGCATACTTCAACTATCACTGTTAATCATAAAAATGCCTCCAACCAGTTTATGTGCATGTCATTTTGTAAAGGAGAATGTAGCAGAGGGGTAAAAGCTGCTTTCAAGAATGTTTGTCAGTTTATTTAATATCTTGAGCAAAGGACTATAAATTCTTCTTGCTACTTTCATGGGGTTGAAAACTCATTTTCATGGAGTGTCACAGAAAGCTTATTGTCACACCACTTGTACTGAAGTATGTATGTTACATATCCCTCTAAAATTACCTGTGTATATTTTGATGTGTGTGAAATAAATATAACTGTTAGTGAAAGTTATTTACTAAAATGGGAAAAAAAACATTATTACTGCATCTTGGCACTATAGTTAATAAATATTGCAACTTGCTTGCCTATGTTCACCTTCTGCATACATCTGTCCATAAAGCTAAATTTTCATGAGTGTATTTTTATTGCATTGTAAATTTTTAATCAACCTGTCTTGTTGCATTGTATAAGATTTTCATGCTTAACTCAACACCTGGTATCAACCTTGTAATTGTTATGTGATCATCAAGGTTCCTGTAAGACATGCTGCCTTTTGAATTTAATACAGTGCACATAGAGTAAAATATATCCCAAGTTAAAAACAACGACAAACTAGGCACTTGAGCAACTAGGAGGCGAAGTGGATAGAATGCTGGGCCTGAAGTCGGGAAGACTCATCTTTCTGAAGTTCAAATCTGCCCTCAGACACTTACTAGCTGTGTGACCCTGGGCAAGTCACTTATCCCTGTTTGCCTCAGTTTCCTCATCTGTCACATGAGCTGGAAAAGGAAATGGCAAACTACTCCAGTATGTTTGCCAAGAAAACTCCAAATAGGGTTACAAAGAGTCTGAAACAACTCAAAAACAACAGGCACTTAATAAATGCTTGTTTCTTTCCTGCCTTCTGCACCATCCCAGGCCGGTCCTGTGATGACTTGTCAGGAGATGTACCAATCCTGGAAGTCCTCAATCTAGGAATTCCCCCAACATCCAGAGAATTCACAGAAATGATTCCAGCTTCAGATACTCTAATTAGCTCTCTTTGTTCAAGTGTGGGGGAACAAAAAAAATAAAGGTCACCCTTTGGTTACAATCCTCTTATCTCTTAAATCCCTTCACCGAAGCCTGGAGTTGGTATTTTCCCTTCTATAGTATCATCACTAGCTAGGATGGAGGAGCTGACTAGAGCAAGCAATCCCTGCTGGAAAAACAAGAAGAGAAAAATTTTTGTTTTGCCCCGTTTATTTTGATTATGCCCTTAATCTGGCCTGTGAGTCAGGAGATCTGGGTAATGGGGCCGGCTCAGTTGTTAACTTACAGTATGACCTTGAGCAAGTCACTTACTTCTGATCTTTAGTTTCCTTATATGGAAAATACAAGGGTTGGACTAATCATGGGTCAGTAAACCCCCCAAAATTGACCTGTTGACCAAATCTACCACCACCACTTTTTGTACTGCCTCTGAGATAAGAGTGGTTTTTACAGTTTAAAATGAAATTTTATTGTAATTTAAAATGTGAAAACTATTCTTAGCTTACAAGCTGGTACCAAAACAGGTGACAGTCTGGACCCTCTGGCTTTAATTTATTAAGCCTCAGGATTAGATTTTTTTCTAAAGTCCTTTTGTGGTTCTTGTTTAGTTTTTCAGTTGTGTCTGACTCTTATTGACCTCTTTTGGGCTTTTCTTAGCAAAGATACTGGAGTGGTTTGCCATTTCCTTCTCGAGCTCATTTTACAGATGAGGAAACTGAGATAAACAGAGTTAAGTGACTTGCCCAGGGTGGCCCGATTAGTAAGTTTCTGAGGCTGAATTTGAATGCAGGTCTTCCTGACTCCAGGCCCATCACTCTATAGACTGTGCCACCTAGCTGCCCCTCTAAAGCCCTTTCCAGATCCTGAGTGAATGATCCCAAGCCCCTAGCAGATGGTTTATGTTGTTATTACTGCTCTCTTTCAGGCTGCCCAGGACTATGGGACAACATGATTTGCTGGCCCTCCTCTTCTGCCGGACAGACAGTGAGGGCTGAATGCCCGAAATTCCTCCAAATGCTCACTGGCAAAAATGGTAACTACAGAACTCATTCTTAAGTAGGTTACTTCTTTTGGACTGGGAGGGTAAGTATCAGAGATGTCAGGAAGGAAGCACAGACTTTCTTCAGACCCACCCTCCCTAGCAGGTAAGCTTCCCCAACCTGGATCCCAGGCCCTGATTTAGTATATTGATTCCAGCTAAAGTTCTAATGGCTTCTCTTCAGTCTTTTCCTCTCCCCGCCAGTCCCACCTCAGCATAATTACATTTGACCTGGGGCCTTCTCAATTACCTGGTGGAGGGTTGGGGAAAGGTGAAGGAAGGTTGCTACTACTGACAGATAAAACTTAAACTCCGCGTTAAATGCCTAGACCATAGTAAAGAGAGTTCTTTACATTTCATCCCTATGCAAATAGGCCACACCTTTCTAGTATCCTCTCTCCTCCCCTCTCCTCTCCTCTTTCTCTCCTTGATATCAATAGAGTACCAAATGCTAATAATATAATTTATCAGCCTAATGCCTAAAGTCACTTCTCTATTATTCAGTTGTGTCCCACTCTTCGAGACCTCATGGACTTCTCTGTCCATGAAGTTTTCTTGGTAAATACTGGAGTGATTTGCCATTTCCTTCTCCAGTGTCAAACTGAGGTTAAGTGATTTGCCTAAAGTCACAGCTAGGAAGTTTCTGAGGCTGGATTTGAACTCTGACCTTTTTGACTCCAAGCCCAGTGCCCTATCCATTGTACCACCTAGCTGCCTAAAGTCACTTCTACATCCAATATTTTATGGTTCCATTGGAGCAGACAGTGTGTTATAATGGAAAGGATACTGAATTTGGAGTCAGAGGACCTGGGTTCTAACTCCAACTCTTCTGCTTGCACATTATTTCATCTCTCTGGGCCTCAGAACGTCATTTTTTTTTTAATCTATAAAATAGGAGGAAGGGAAAATTGACTAGATAATCTGTCCTTTCCAAATCTAAATCCTGATTCTCAAAACATAGGCAAGGACAATCTTAACAGGAAGTTTGTTTTCTAAGAATCCTTAGGCAGGTGCAGTGGATAGAACACTGGGCTTGGAGTCAGAAAGATGTGAGTTCAAATCAAGCCTCATATACAGTATGACCTTGCAGAAGTCACTGAACCTCTGTCTCAGTTTCCTCAACAGTAAAATAAGGACAGTAATAGTACCTCTTTTCCAAGGTTATTGAGAAAATCAAATAAGATAATATCTGTCACCAGACACTTAACACTTACTAGCTGTATGACCCAAGGCAAGTCACTTGACCCCAATTGCCTCAGCAAAAAAAAAAAAATATATATATATATATAGATATATATGTATATATATGTATATATATATCTATATATATATCTGTCAAATGTTTAGCACAATACCTGGCCCAAAGTAGGCACTATATAAATTCTAGCTACTATTATTCTCCTTATTGATTCTCTCTCCAATTTCCCTTAATGGCGAATAATTCCAGAATTTGAGGCTACAAAGTCTTTCTCATTGTTCCACTCAGTTTGCTACTCCGCTTTTTTTGTCCTGCTAGTAGAATCAAGGTTCCCACAATCCTTTTTATATTTCTCCCAGCCTTAGATGGATGAATGCTGAATCTATTCTTGTCTGTTCTTCTATATTGGTCTCCTCTACCTTATTATTTCTATGGTGTCTAGGCTGTTGAGATAGGAGGAAGGAAAGGAGAATGGTAAAGGCAGAGTGGTTCGGTGGAAAGAGCTTGACGTGGAAAATCTGGAAGCCCTCAAACCTGGGTCCTAGTTGTTGCCTTTACCACAACCTCTAGCTGTGCAACCTTAGGAAGCATGGCTTCCAGTTCAGTGTCTATTTTTTCTTATTGTTAGGGTCAAATGATTTAACGGAAATGAAAGTCCTCTGCAGAGTAAAGAAGTGCTCTACACATATAAGGCATCATAAAGACAATAAGAGCAGTACTATAGCTCTGTACATCTGGACATTAGAGAAAGCATTGCTAAGGATGATGAAGTCCTGGCAAACTGATGATTTTATGGGCAAAGATAGTATTTTCATCCTTGATGAAGGTAAAGGTTTCATCAGTAAACTCGCTGAAAGTAAGAGTTTCATCAGTAAAAGATGAATTTGTAAAGCAAACAACTAGTTGAGACGTTGCTGTTTGACAGTGAGATTGAGATTTTCAGGCCACAGCTTAATATAGGAAAGAAGGGTTCTTGTCAAGGATAGGGTTTGTCTTACAAGAACAAAACCTTCCCACATCAGACAAGTGCAACAAACAGTCATTTTGCCAAAGAGGTTAGCCTCAAGAGTTAGAGATGGTATCTATTTATAGACTGTGGTTTAAGATATAGGATTTATGACTCAGTCAGGGTTGAAGTATAGCTAATGATGGTTGGTAAAAATATGTTAGCCTGGAAAGTTGTGAATCTGATCAAAAAGACTTTAAATTGAACATGGAAGAGGAGGAAGAATACTCTCAATGTCTATCCACCAAACCAGATACCACAGAGAGTAGCAATTGTGCCATAGGAAGAAGTGGAGAGGACCACTAGTAATTTATTTTATTTTTTTATTATTTAGAATTTTATTTTCCCCCAAGTACATGTAAAAACAATTTTTAACATCCTTTTTTAAAATTTTGAGTTCCGAATTCTCTTTTTCCCTTCCTTCCCCCTTCATTGAAAAGGTAAGCAATTTGAAGTGGGTAATACATATGTAATCATGCAAAACATTTCCATATTACTTATGCTGTAAAAGGAAACAGCCAAAAAAAAGAAAGAAACCAAGAAAAATAAAGTTTTTTAAAAAAGTATGTTTTGATCTACATTCAGACTCTGCCAGTTCTTTCTCTGGGGATGGATAGCATTTTTCATCATAAGTCCTTCAGAATTGTCTTGAATCACTATATTGCTGGGAATTGCCAAGTCATTCACTGTTGACCATCATAAAATATTGCTGTTACTGGGAACAGTATTCTCCTGGTTCTGCTCATTTCACTTTGCATCAGTTCATGTAAGTCTTTCCAGGTTTTTCTGACAGCATCTGACTAGTAGTAACTCAAATATCATCTCTATGAAGAAAGAAGTATGAATTGTCTAAAGAGACAGATATGAATACAGAGGATTTTGATTAACCAACTAAAAATTTTAAAACATTTATACAGAAGATGGAAGCAAGGATAGATAACTAAGGTTGAATAAAAAAGTGTGAAATGATCCTCTAAAACTGGAATTCAGAGCTTTGGAGCTCAGAATGAGCTGAGGGTGGTCATAAATGTAAAAGATAAACAGCACTGTCACAGCTCTGTTGAGGGGGAAAAAGGAAGATCTAAGAAAGGAGAGGATCATAGCTCAGTGTGGATGAGTTGATGATAAAGGATGGAGAGAAGGCATAAACACTCCACTTTAATTTTGCTTCCATTTTCTCCTCCAAGGAAAGTGTCAACTGAATGGAATCGGCTTCTAACCTGTAGATGGCCAGAGCAGAATAGAGCAGGCTAGAGACAGGAGAGCCAGGAATCAAATAGAAGTTTAATTTCAAAGCGATGGAAATAGCTTGCAAGCAAGGACACATATGCTGGAGCCCTGCTCCTAGTGATGGGGACCCAAGGCAATGTGGGGAAATCTTAGTACTTATACCAATGGCTGGACAGCGAGCTGCAGCCTTGATAATGAGGGGTAACAGCAACAAGGTGACAAGTTTGATTCATAGCAGGGCTTCATGACCGGAACATGGATACACCTGGTACTTGTCCAAACTCAAAGAATGCCTGGTGATGGTCAAAGCAATACAATAATTATATGAAACAATTCTGGGATGTTGCTGTGGCTGAGATCATCCAGAGGGGGAGTGCAAAGGATTGTTGTTATGCCTGCTGGGCCTTAGCTCTGGAATACAGGGTATCTCTTAATATCTTGACAACAGCAATCTTCAGACAGGAAAGAATCAGTCAACGAATACGTGCCAGATACTGGAAATTGATACTAGATTTAGGAAATACAAATACCAAAATTAGACTATGCCTGCTGTCAAAGAACAAACAGGATTTGCTAATATCAACAAGCAAATATAGGTATATACAAAATAAATATTAAGTGACTGAGAGGAGAGGTATCACCAATAACTAGGGGAATCAAGACATTTACCAACAGATAGCTGCTGGGCCTAGGTGAGGGGATACCTTTTTCCAGTAAGGGATCTTTTTGCTCTGGGGTCACACAGGTACTAGTCCTGGGAGACTTTGGCCTCCAAAGAGAGGGCTCAGGCTATATCCCAGAGTCATGAGGAAAAATACTTCAAGCTTATGTTTGGCTCACGTCTAAGACCTGCCCAATAGGAAATTTAAAGATATTTAATATATAAAGTAGTTTAGGTAGAAGATGGCTATTAATTTCCCCCACACAAGAGAAATTCTTAAAACACAGACTTAAATGAAACATGAGACAGTAACCACAAATCCTATTACACTCTCCCAGGAGGTCATTATTTAAAACATTGAAACAGGAAACTATTTATTGGATTGCTGAAAAGCCATTCTGCCTTCCCCTCAGATCTTCATTGTCCAAACAACACCCTCAAGGTCCATGACTTCTTGCAAGCCATGCCATGATTTTGGGTCATCCTCGTCACTGGTGCTCTCCAAGAAGAGTGTAGTTGCAAAAAAACTACTAAGTTGCAAAAAAACTAATAAGAAAAGCTGACAAGGCAGATTTCAGCTTGATATAATTAATAATTAATAAGTAGTAGTATTTACCTAGCACTTTAAGGTTTGCACAACACCCCTAGGAGGTAGCTGCTATTGTTATCCCTATTTTTATAGTTGAGGAAATAGGCAAACAGAGGTTAGGTGACTTTCTCAGGTTCACACAACTAATAAGTGTCTGGGCAGGATTTGAGCCGGGCTATTCCTGACTCCAAATCCCATGTCCCATGCTCTATCTACTATACCTCCTAACTGTATAAGTATAAGGAGATACTTACACACAATGAGAGCTATCTCACAGGGAAATGAGTTTTTTCTTCTTCTGGTCAGCTTC